TCCGCTGGACTCGCTCCAACAGCTCCGTGTCCTTCTGCTGTTGGCAGCCCCAGCATCTCCCTACTAAGACAGTCACTGCAGCCCAGAGCCACCCTGCATTCCTTTTAAAAACAAGTTCTCTTCAGGCTGATAATATCTTGCATAACTTTTGAGATCAATCCAAAACATCCCCTTTTAAATTATTGCTCAAGGAGAGACAGTATGCTTAGTGCAACAGAGGTTGCATATACACGCGTGAAAGAAGTAACTGTTTCATGAATTTCTCACTATCATTCAAAATACAGGATCTCTCTTCATCCTCCCCCGCTACTCTGTGCTGGTGAGGCCTCCCCTGGAGTGCTGTGTCCAGTTCGGGGCTCCTCAGCTCAAGAAGGACCAGGAGCTACTGGAGAGGGTCCAGCGCAGGGCCACGACGAGGATGAAGGGCCTGGAGCACCTTCCCCATGAGGAAAGGCTGAGAGAGCTGGGGCTGTTCAGAAGAGGAGGCTGAGGGGGGATCTTATCAGTGCGTATCAGTGTCTGAAGAGGTTCTTTCAGGAGGATGGGGCCAGGCTCTTCTCAGTGGTGCCCAGGGACAGGACGAGGGGCAATGGCCATAAACAGGACAGCAGAAGGTTCAGCCTGACCATGAGGAAACCCTTCTTCCCTGTGAGGGTGACAGAGCCCTGAACAGGCTGCCCAGGGGGGTGGTGGAGTCTCCTTCCCTGGAGACTTTCCAAAGCCCCTGGACTTGTTCCTGTGTGATCTGCTCTGGGGGATCCTGCTCTGGCAGGGGGGTTGGACTAGATGAGCTCTAGAGGTCCCTTCCGACCCTCACCACTCTGTGAATCTGAAAATCAGGTGTAGTTTGAAAATGGAGAATATTCCACAAGTATGCAAAAGTTGTTTAGGAAGGAGAAATTCATGGTTCGCCAGCAGGAAAAAGTAAGAGAAGGAATTATTTTCAGGGTCGGTGACAAGCCTCCAGCTGATGCAGAAGAGGAGATGGTGCTGTCAGGTATTTTAGCACGTAGAGTGGTACGATGCGTCAAGGAAGGAAGATCGTTTTAGTACCAGCTTTTGGTACAGACTGAAGTAAAATCAAGAGATATTGGGAAACAAACCAAAGTGATTTTGAAAGCAAGATTTGCCTTTAGATTACACTGCCCTCACAAGAGAGCAATAATACTAACTTAGGCTAACATCCCATCAGAGATTTCAATTGAAAATGAGGCAAAACTTGGTTCAGCTTCTTATATTTTGTTCGACTAAGTTCCTTTTCATCAAAAAATTTAATCTGGCCTTTATTCTTCTTCATTCTTTTATTACAAGAGAGCTGGGGGTAGCGGATTCAAGGCGTTGTGAAGGAGAAGATTTCCAATGGCAGAGGCAAGCGAGGGGAAGGAAGATAATGCTTACACACACAGACACGCTCCCACTACAGGGCTCTGGGATATAAGGCTCTGGGCACAGGTTGCCCAGAGAAGCTGTGGATGCCCCATCCCTGGAAGTGTCCAAGGCCAGGCTGGATGAGGCTTGGAGCAACCTGGGCTATGGAAGGTGTCCCTGCCCATGGCAGGGGGTTTGGAACTGGATGATCTTTAAGGTCCCTTCCAACCCAAACCAGTCTGTGATTCTGTGATTATTGGACCAAAGCATTTTTGTTCAGCTTTTTCAACAGCTTCCAGCTGAGTCTTAACAGCTGCAAATCTGAGCAGAATCATTTGACATTGCCTCTCCCCTATAAAACATCTCATAACGAATTTTCAATATTCCCATTGGTCTTGCTCCTACTCAGCATCTCATTTTCATTAAGAAAGAACACAGGCATTTTTTCAGCCGCTTGATAATCTTCTGCATGATCCCAAGTGTGTTTTCAGTTTTTAATCTATTTATCAAAAGTACTTGACCAGAAAAAATGAATGCAAACTTTGTGGCTACTCCTGAGGGCATACTAAAAAAGAAATGAATTGTTATTGGATCTGAGTGGGTTTATTCGTTATTTGTCAAGCAGTATTGTAGCCAAGCAGACCTCACCCTTGCTTAAAGGTCTAAAAACACGTAACATAAAAATGGGGTAATAAAAAGAGTTGGGAAGAAACCTAGGGCTGTAGTCTGTGTGGATATTAAAAATATTGGCAGGAGCAGCAGACAATCTAGGGGCAAGATTGAGTCTCCTGGGGGAAAACAGGGACTCCTGCACTGCACAAGGCCAGGGAGAGCAGTGGAAAAGCAGAGTCTGAACAAGTGGCTGAGAAGACAGTGCAGGATCTGGAATGCTTCCTGAATAAATGGAGCCATTATCAGAGGCAGAGAGGGAAACGGGTTTAAACAGAAAGAGGGAGATTGAGATGGGACATCAGGAAGGAATTCTTCCCGCAGAGGGTGATGAAGCACTGGGACAGGTTGCCCAGAGAAGCTGTGGATGCCCCATCCCTGGGAGTGTCCAAGGCCAGGCTGGATGAGGCTTGGAGCAACCTGGTCTATGGAAGGTGTCTCTGCCCATGGCAGGGGGTGGCACTGGGTGGGCTTTAAGGTCCCTTCCAACCAAAACCGTTCTGTGATTCTATGATTTCACCTGACAGGTACAAGACCCAGCTGGTGGCACTTGAGAAGGCTGTGAAGGAACTTTTAAGCAGAGGAGCAGCTGTAAGCTGACTGGCATGGAAGAGTATATGCTTCGGAGGACTTCAAGGTTGACTGGAGAAGTCTGTAACCTCAAGTAAAGACAGGCTAGAGGGATATATCAAGTGAGAAAGAAAAAACAACACAGCCACTTAAATAGGTATGAAGAAAGGAGCTGAACCAGAGATTTATCTTCTGTAGATATCAACAGCGTAAGGAAGAAGGTGGGGAACTGAAGTCTCTGCTCCTAACCCGATTTACTAAATTAAGCTCTTGCTTAAGTGTTTTCAGGACTGAACTTGGTGGTGGCAAGACATCCAATGACTCAATTTAGCCTCTTCCAAAAAAGAGGGAAACCAAAACCACTTACCATGGCCAAGGAATGAAGGAAGAGCCAAAAAGCCTGAGCTAAACATAGATGGACACTCTGCTGTTGTCTCAGGGTTTGGATTACAGCGAAAGCAGCGTTTAGTGCTAAAAATTCAATCAGCAAACCAAAAGAAAAGCACTAGATGACTCCAACCAAAGAGCTTAGAAGCTAGCAACCCTGCTTCTTAAATTAACAAATGCCTTTAGTCCACGGACACATGTTG